TTTAGGCAGTGGTGGAATGTAACAAAGTACAAATACTTGATTACTTTACTTAAGTACATTTTTCACGTATTTTTACTTTACTTAAGTAGAATAAATAGTGCATACTTTTTACTTTTACTTCGTTACATTTTGCAGCAATTATTATACTTTCTACTCCACTAAATTTCTACAACTTCTGTTACATTTTCATTACATTTTCTGATCAGTTTTTCCCCCGTCAAAACGTAATCTGACCGTCCGTCCGTTACACGTTTGTCTCACCAGTGACGTTTGGACGGTTTGGTTGCCATAGATATATCAACCCGGTCACACTAAATGGGTCTCGCACGCAGTGTGTTTATCACGCAATTTATGCGCGGAAATTTGTTTTTACGTGCATAGGAAACGCACCGTGTGTAATATACGTTTGGTTAGGATTATGGCAAGCAAGAGGTTCAGAATTACACCATAAATTAATTGCGTTTACTGCAAAACATAGTTATTAATATATAGTAAGGATAACCATGATGTGTATATTGCCTAATTGCAAGCTTGTTTCAGAAATATTGTCAACAATTTTTTTCCATAATTATTGAACATCATTATAGGAGTATTAGGTTGAATGAGTTAGAATTAAATGTTTTATTAATCATTAGAAAATAGACATTAAGAGAATAATTGTTATGCAAGAACTTTTACTTTTAATACTTAAAGTACATTTAAAATCAGGTACTTTTTACTTTTTACTTAAGTATGGTTGTCATTGTGTTACTTCTACTTTTACTAAAGTAAACATTTATGTGGTTATTTGTACTTTTACTTAAGTGAGATTCAGTACTTCCTCCACTCCTGGTTTTAGGTCATACTGTCCTGGTGGAGCAATAGTATGAAGAGACTCATGCTGATCAAGGTAGATAAAGTTAGTAGAACTATCAATAAAGCCTAGTTCACACTAGATGATTTTAAAACATCTGGCTGAACTGTGCGGTTCACACTACATGACTTGCTCTCTGTGAAATCAGGAGTGTTCAAGTTGTTGAGCTGTTCCCTTTCGAGGGAACTTCGAGCTGCATCGAATGCTGTGGGAACGCCCCTGCGTTGTGCGCCATGAAGCACGTATGGAATCAGTCCAATGGAGAGACGGAATGTCATAGGCGTCATCGACCAGGAAACTATAAACCATAAACTATAAACTATAAACCCGAAAACACAAGCGCAACAGCTTCTGTGCCTTCAGTAGAGGGAGAAACACGTCTGTCTTTAAGAGTTGCTAGGCAACAGTAATCACATTTTACACCACACAAACAATTTTGTATGACAGACTATGGCGAGCGAAGAGAATTTAAGAAGTCTGATGGGCGGGGATACACATTCTTTGTGTTGTTTGTTTGGGAGTGCAGCATGCCCAATCAGCTCTCGAGGGGGCTGACTGCGAGCATTGCGAACGTCTGCCTTTGTGAACGCTCCACTCCCGCCGAGCGCTCTTTGAGGAGAGTGGCTCGGTGCGCGCTCCCCGTGGTTCGGTGACGATGCTTATCGTGGGGATCGCAAATGGATCTTTCAGCGGGGTTAGAGACGGGCTCTGCCTTATCTCTGCCTTTACCTGTTAGATCCAGTGTCTCAGCCCCGGGTTCAGAAGCACGCTCTGTGGTTTCTTCCACCTGGGCTGAGGCACCAGTACTGCAAATATCTAGTTAAAAAAAAACTGAGGAGATGGTCGTTGTCAGTATTGACGAGAGAGATGTGGAGGACTCGCCACCTCACACTCCAGAAAGTGAAGTGAAGTCAAGTATATTTATATAGCGCTTTTCACAATATAGATTGCATCAAAGCAGCTTCACAGTATTACTCAAAACATAATAACAATGTTTGTTTCTTAGTGGAAAAAAAAATCCACATTTGGTTGAGCTGATCAATGGTATTACTGATTGGTTAAAGGGCACCTATTATGGAAAATTCACTTTTACATGGTGTTTGAACATAAATGTGTGTTGGCAGTGTGTGAGCAAAACCACCCTAGAATGATAAAAATCCACCCAGTGGTTTTTTTACAATCTCAATAAATCATATGCACTGTCTCAGAACGAGCTTTTCTGAGATCCAGCGCTTTGTGACGTAGAAATGGAGACAGGGGTTTGATTGACAGTGTGGCTGTGGCCTAGACCCCACCCTCAGTGATCTGTACACACATCCTCCATTGTTTCAACGACGACAGCCGGTAATGTCTCTTGGAAACATACGTGTTCTGTCGTGGACTCGTGGGTTAATCCTGTTAATCCTCAACTGTGGATCGTCATCTACTGTTTGCGATCCACCGTCGCATCCAGTAACAGTAAGTGTGTTTTATGATTTTTGAGCAAATAGTCTTTTCAGTCAATGTCAGCCAATTCAACAACAAATGCGTCTAAAGTTGTTGTCGTCGTAGGATGTCTGTGTAGGCTATATAATTTAAACCTTGTTTGTATAGTGTGTAACCACACGTTTATATATATTTAAAGATATTGTATTAAAAACTGCATATATGTTGTTGTTCTGTATGTTAGCCATCTCCTCACATTTGCCACAGAAGCACCCGTATGACAAGTAAACATGACGCCACAGGTCCCTCGCATAAATGTAATTTTGCTTGTACGTAGCAAACTTTATCACAGTATGTGTGTGTAATTTCAAAAAAATTGCGCCAGCATTAGTGTTTATGTGTGTCTGTGTGTGTGTGTTGCACATGCCCATCATTTCAAAGGGGACACGATTACAACGCTAAAGTACATAAATGTATCAAATAACCATACCGAGACGTACTGGTCCATTCTCATTTGTGTTTATTCTGCCGGAGTCTCTTTGTACTATTTATATATTCCTATTCAAACGTACGCTGAATGACATTCAAAACAGCGCGTCTCTCACTCTCTTAGCCCTTCTGCTTAGACCGACTGCCAGGTATCAAGTTACGCCCTCATCCAAAGGCAGGGCGGGGATATGCAGCTCATTTGCATTTAAAGCCGTATACCTCCGAAACAGGTCATTTTTAAGCAGGCCCCAAAATGACATTATCAAATGGTTATAATAAATTAACTGTGGGGTATTTTGAGCTGAAACTTCACAAATACATTCTAGGGACACCAGAGACCAATATTACATCTTGTAAAAAGGGGCATAAAAGGTGCCCTTTAATTCATTTGAATATCCCCAACTGAGCAAGCCAAAGGCAACAGTGGCAAGGAACCAAAAAACTCCATCAAGTGACCTAAAGGTGTCCTAAAACTCCATCAGGTGACTCAATGGAGAAGAAAAAAAACCTTGGGAGAACCCAGGCTAAAAGAAGAGCTTATGGAGGTTCTCACTTGAGCTGAATCAAAACTAAGCATTGAGTGGCCAGTGGCTAGACAGGAGTCTGTTATTAAATCTAAGTTAGTGTTATTAAATCTAAGTTAGATGAAAGATTTCTCCCTTCCACGCAGGTGCTTGCCATTCTTTCATGATCTCCATACTGAAGTGTTGAGATCATGAAGAAGCTGGCTTCAGAATTATTAGCCCCAAATCATTTAAATATTCTGATTTAGTGGGGGCTACGTTTTTTTGAGAAAAAAAGACGGCGCTTAGCCGTGGGTAGAAGAGACGATTGCGAGCTATCTCTCTTCCGAGGCTGCATCGTCATTTAAAGCACCGTCATTTGAAGCACTCTCCTTTGTAGTGGCTGTACGAGCCCACTCTACTAGGAGTATCTCTAAATGTGATGTTTGTGATACGTCTGGATGGACTTCGCTGCATACATTTATTAAGTTCTATGATTTGGACTCCACTCCTGGGGCGCAGGTGCTCTCATCCTCTGTGCGCTAGATCCAACGCATTCTCATCCTTTAACGTCATATAGAACGCTATATGACAAAACGGCGCTATACTACGCACATGGCACCCGTTATCGTTAATATAACACATGCTGTGAGGGCTAAGTTTAGGTGTGGGGTAGGGTGTGCGTGTCATATTCACGCTAAAGGATTTATAACGTCTTGGGTTCGCGTGTTATATTAACGATAAAGGGTGCCATGTGCGTAGTATAGCGCTGTTTTTGCATATAGCGTTCTATATGACGTTCAAGGATGAGAACGGGCTGCTAGATCTCACATGATGGTCACTTACTCCTGTGGTGACGTGGGTAACCCTAGTTCCCTGATAGGGAACGAGACTCTCCGTCAGTCCGCCATACTCCAGGCATGCCCGTTAGCGCTTCCTTCAGGCCTATCAGAAGCTGTTGCGCTTGTGTTTTCGGGGTGCTTTACAGTTTCCTGGTCGATGACGTCACTCGTCTACGTTTAGTCTCTCCATTGGACTGATTCCATAGTGCTTCATGACGCACAACGCAGGGGCGTTCCCACAGCGTTTCGACGCAGCGTCTCGTTCCCTATCAGGGAACTAGGGTTAAATACGTAACCGAGACGTTCACACCACGCGACACAACGTGATTGACAGGAGGTAACGTACTACAGGAGTTGACAAACACTCTGTCACCCAAGATTTTATCTTATCTACAAAACGTTTTGTCACGGAAATTCACGTGGTATAACAAACCGGAAATGACGTGAAACAGCACCGCGGGCCAATACCCAGCGAAGAACATAAAGAAGATAAAGTGCCTTGCTCTGATTGGCTGTAGCTTATGACATCACTTGAGGTTGAGTTGTGTCACATCTCTGGATATCTAGCATGCTAGATATTTTTCTAGGCTCGGCGATGCGTATGCCAGCGTCTTTGATGTGTTGTTGGCTTTTTCATACTAACAGATTGGCGAGCGTTCATCGCCCACTAATCCCCCGCGATTTGCACATGATAACACCCTGACCTGTCAGCGAGCTCAACGATTAGCAAATTGGGCTTAAATCGGGCTCAAAATCATGTAGTGTAAACTAGGCTTAAGTCAACCTGAATTTATGCAGTCCAGTTAGGCAACTCACAACAATTAAGAACAAAGCCTGGGTGAGGTAGGAGAGGAACTCTTAGAGGAACATTCTGGAACCAGTACTTACCTCCGATGGCTCCTCCTCCAAACTACAGGGGGCGCTGTCTGGAGATGTAGTTGAAGACCTGGTTGTCTTTGTCTCGAGTTGTTCTTGTGTTTCTGACCCTGTTTCTGATTTGCTTCTCTGAAGTGACATTCTCTTCACTTTTTCCTTGTCTTTTTCATTGTTGTCCTCCTCTAAATTGTTATTTTGCATAATTACTCTAGATGATGCTCCCTCAGTTTCACAGGGTCCTTCCTGTTCATCTTCTTCTTTGGATTTCACACTCAATTTAGGCTCTAATTTCTCTTTTTCCATGCGTATGCTTTTCCTCTTCCTTTTTATCTCTTGCTCAACCTCTGATTGCTTCTCTTGCCCTTGTTTCAGTTGTTTCTCCATTTCCCTCTGTCTTTCCTGTTTCCTCACAACCTGCACCTCGATCTCTCGTTGTCTTTCTCTGTCCTTCTCGATTTGTTTCTCCAGCTCTCTTTGTCTTTCTCGCTCTCTTTCTACTTGTCTTTCGATTACTTTCTGTCGCTCCCTTTCTCTTTCCAATTCTCTCTCTCTATTCATTTGTCTCACTGCATCACTTGTATCCATGTCTCTAACCGATTGTCTTTCATTCGGCTTCTCAGTTTCCCTCGGTTTCCCTTCCTTCTTCTCTCGTTTGCTCTCGCGCCTCTCCTTTGGTCTCAGTTTCTCACTTTCGTTCTCCCATAACCTGTCTTTTTGCTTGTTGCCCACTTCCATGATTGGCTCAAAATTAGATGACATTACATCCCTCTCGCTGACTTGGCCAACCAGTTCACCAAACTTGGATCTCAGTTCATGTTCCAGGGTTTCATTTAGAGAGGAGACCCTGAGCAAAGGGCCCTGAAGGTTATACCCTGATTTGCTGGCCCCTGATTGGCTCCACAGGCTGGCGGCACTGGAGTTGTGAGCCACAGTGCTCTGATAGTCAGGTTCAAGGGTCATGGCGTCAGAGGTCAAAAGGTCAGGAGGGGTCACAGTGTCTGGAGTCTGGTAATTCAGAGGAACTGGGCTCTCCTGGCTCTGTTGGCGGCGTATCATCATGGCGTTGAGCAGGACCGCACTGTTCTCCTGAGATGTTTTAAATAGAAGGAGAGTTGGAGAGCAGAGAGAGAGAGGGAGAGGGAGAGAGAGAGAGAGAGAGATTATATAAAATAAAGACTTCATGGCCAAGATAAAGGATTTAATGGATGGTTAGCCCAATACAACCTCTGCCCTGCAGTGCCACCTACTGGAGTCAAATCAAACCACATTCATACATTTCAAAAAAAAAAAAAAAAAAAAAAAAGATTGCTAGTTTTCTTCATTTTTGCTTTTGATAATTTTATACTTTCTGTTTCTGTTTCTGCTGAAATTTTCACTCTCATTACTACCTAAAAGGAAAATAATACGTAAGAAAATAATACGTAACATTCCTTCACCTTTCAGTCATATACAACAATTTATTTAGCTGTTTTCAGAGAATTTTAAATGTATGTAAATACGTATATCTGACTTATATATTAAATATGTTCTCTGAAAAATAGAAACAATTATTAATCAATTAATCAAATGGAAATTGCAATAAAAAAAATGAATATAAAAAAAAAATCGAATATAAATACATATATAGTATGTCAGTATCAGTATGGAAATACGAATATATAAAAACGTGGCAAAATAGTCTCATCATGATTTTTATCAATCTAATAATAAACCAGAAGGCTGCTCTTTCTCTTACCACTGTGGCAGAGCTGTACAGTTCATCATGTGCTCGACTGTGCTCTGATGTCTCGCGTTTGCTCTTTCTGCGCCTCCTTGACCTTTTGATCTGCTCGCTCTGCTCCTCCCCATCGCTACTGTCCCCTCCCACACGGGGGTTAAAGTTCACATCAAGAACTTCTGGCCTCAGTAGAGGGGAAGCTACACTGCTTGTGGGATGTCTGTAGGGAGGATACAGGTGTGCTTCAGGTAGCCCTTTTTTCCTCTGGGACATACTGTGGGCTGCTCTGCTCGCTCGAGTGGACGGGGCAGGAGACGTCTCCGAGTCTGAGTTTAGCGTCTCAGTGTTGGTGTACTGACCCGAGGAGGGTGAGGTGATTGGTGGGTGTTGGGTGTATGTCCATTCCGGGTCATGTTGAGAGTCAGTGTAATAGGTTTCGTCAGAGAGACGTCTGCGAAACTGTAACAGGGCAGCCCCCCAGCCTCCCTGGTCCTCAGGATCTGAATCAGAGCCCATCCCGTCATACGCGGACACAACGCCTGATTCTTTCTCCAGCACACTGAAAACAAGGCTCTTGCGCTTGGTCAGCAGACTGGGCCGGGAATGCTGGAAGCTCTGCAGGGCGATCCAGTTACCATCAGGGGACTGCAGGACTGAAGATGCACCTGTGAAGAGAGATACAAACACCTGGACAGAAAAATATAGAGGATATGTGAGTGTGTGTGTGTGCGTGTGTATGTGTGTGTGTGCGTGTGCGTGTGCGTGCACCACATACACAAACAGAAAATGAGAAAACGTCAAAATAATAAAAAGGTGGTAATTTTCTTGTGTTATTTTTATTAATACCATCCAGATGTGAAATTATTATACAATTAAGTTTGACACTGGACACAAAATTAAACACTTTGGCTGTGTCCGAAATCACATACTATGTGAGTAGGTATATATATTTAAAGGACAACTCCGGCGCAAAATGAACCTTTGGTCTAATTACACATTGCTACCTAGTCAACCGTTATCTGAGATTTGTTTTCATGATTGCTGAATGTAAATAGTTTTATCTCTAAAAACAGTTTAGCCTATAACGCTAGTATAATGATAGTATATAGGGCATAGAGTATTGACAAATAAAAATCGCTTGTTATTACCACTAACAAGCCTCAAAATACCCACACACTAACACAACAGCATAATAAGGGTCCCTACATACAAATCGAAGCATTGAGAACTTTGTCTGTGTCCATACAGTTTAATAAGAAGATACTTTATACACACAGTCAACTTTGCGAATACAGGAAGAAGCCATCTTTGAAAAATAGTCACTACCAGTCGATCTACGAACGCTGATCCATGTGCGCTGAACTGTGCAGAATCTCATATGGTCCGTTGTTTTCGGAAGAAACACAAACACGAACCGTTTTCTTCTCTTCAATATGTACACGTAGCCTACTGTTCGCGCTCACCTCATCACCTTATTCACATCTCACCAGCGCACTTGGATCGGCATTCGTAGATCTGGTCTCTGGTGGAGACTATTTTTCAAAGATGGCGTCTTCCTGTATTCGCGAAGATGACGGTGTGTATAAAATATCTTCTTATTAAACTGTATGGACACTGACAAAGTTCTCAATGCATCGTTTTGAATGTAGGGACCCTTATGCTGTCGTGTTGGTGTGGGGCTATTTTGAGGCTTGTTAGTGGTAATAACAAGCGATTTTTATTTGTCATTACTCTATGCCCTATATACTAGCGTTATACTAGCGTTATAGGCTAAACTGTTTTTAGAGATAAAACTATTTACATTTGGCAATCATGAAAACAAATCTCAGGTAACGGTTGACGAGGTAACAATGTGTAATTAGACCAAAGGTTCATTTTGCGCCGGAGTTGTCCTTTAAATAAGAATGTACTTCACAACGTTAAAAAAGTACTTTCTATATAGTATGAATATGGGTACTATGAATGAGTTCGGACGTGCTACATGCGCCATGTTGTCGCGTGACACACGCTGTCACAGCAGTGTGAAAATTTAAAGAGCCCATTCCAGTGACTGCATCAACTTTGCGCTGTTTTTAGTTCTGCTTTCTGTTATCATCTGCGTTTTTACGTCGTCCGAGCCGGCAATCAAGAGGAGGCGTTGGTCAGCTGCTCGCAGGATATGCCTTTTGCAGAATTTCTCAAATAACATTTATTTACCTAATAAATTTTACCTCATAAAACACACACGAACCCCCTTAAGAACAATGACAGATTTTTTGGAAAGGAAAAAGCCATTTATTTGCTTGTGATATTACAATCGATAAATAAACATGAATGAAACAATAGAGATACGCATGTGTGTCTGTATTTATCTCCTAACGTTACAGCCGCGTCTCCGGTTTCCACCATTTTCAAATATAACGACAACAACTCTTCTCCCATGGCATCATGGGATAGTAAAGTGTCCATTGTATGCGCACTTCAGAATCTCGCTGGAAGTAGTAGGTCATCCAGGTACTTTTCGCCTACTGTTTTTCGAATTCTATGATTTCGGACATACTTCTCTGCTCGCATACTGTTTTTCGCATACTATATAGTAGGGAAGTATTCGATTTTGGACGCAGCCTTTACCTTTGTCTGACTATTTTGCACCCATTAAGTCATTAATTACTCACCCCCATGCTGTACCAACCCCGTAAGACCTTCGTTCATCTTCGGAACACAAATGAAGATATTTTTGATTAAATTTGAGAGCTGGATAACTCCTCCATAGGCTTCCTAAGGGACTAGCACTTGACGGCCCATAAAGTCATTAAAGAAAATGTTTAAATATTCCATGTGCCTACAGCGGCTTAATTATAAGTTTATCAAGCGATGAGAATATTTTTTGTGAGAAAAAACAAACAAAACATAAATAACGACTTTATTCGACTATTCCATTACTTCCTTATGGGCCTTGAGACGAGAATTGAAGAGGTTGGTACAGCATGGGGGTGAGTAATTAATGACTTAATTTTCATTTTTGGGTGAACTAACCCTTTAAAAGGATATTTCACCCCAAAATTAAAATTCTCTACTTTACTCAACCTCAAATTCTGAATGACTTTCTTTCTTCTGTGGGATACAAATATTGGTGTTTTGGGACCCCAATGACTTTCATTATATGACTTCCAAACTTTTTCAAAACCTCACTGTGTTCCAAAGAATAAAGAAAGCCAGATTTGTAACAGCATGAGTTATGTTAACTACACTCTCAGAAAAAAAATAAAATAAAAGTTGCCACTGTGACGGTGCCCTTTCAAAAGGTACTAATATGTACACTTTTGGTACCAATATGTACATTTTAGGTACTAATTATGTACTCTTTAGGTACAAATATGTACCTTTTGAAATGCTACTCACCCAGTGACAGCTTTTGTAGTTGTGTAGCGTACCTTTCCCTCTTGTAATGAATCAACAAATCAATTGTGTAGATGTCTGCAGTTTTGTTCTGGCGCACTAGACCAATGATGAACAGTGTGTGTTTTGTATATATTCTTACTAGTGTTGTCCAAGCGGTCCACACTCTTCCAACCAGGAAGTGATGAAGCTCTGGACTCCCTCCTAAGTGAAGAGTAGTTCTGGATGTCTGTCTGTACCTCTGCACTCTTCAGGACCCCTGGGGCCATTCCCACCTCAGGGTCCTTCTCTAGAGAATCGTCACTTGTCAAAGAGAACGCTGATCTTGACTTCTAAACACACCCATCAACCCACATGCACAACAATTGTCATTTGGAATGATGGATGTGTGAACAAATATATCATTATATATCATTCTTTTCTTTCTTCAAGAAAGCAATGATTTATTTAGCAAGGATTAAATAGGTCAAAAGTATAATAATATACAGTATAAAGACGTTACAAAATATTCTATATATCTATTTTTATTGCAAGATATAAAATGTTTAAAATATATGATATACATCTGCCAATTAAAATGTTCCTTTCATCTTGCAATTTGAAACCCTTCAGTCAAATATCTACATGTAAGCAGTTCATTAGTTTACAGTGGTATGCATACTGAGTTACACACAAATAGTAATAACCTTTAATGTATAAGAATTGTAATGTTTGTTATGTTATAATGTACAAATGGCTGACAGTTTTCTGCACAAAGTGAAACCGTTTTGCCTTTTAGGCGCAATTTGAATTTGGTTATATATATTTGATTTGGAAAAGTTTAAGAGGTTCACCAGTTGGGGGTGCTAGAGACTTGCATTAGCTTATTGACTCACTGTTGCTGCACATTAGAAATGTCTGTACTACAGCAATACTGAATAACACTCAAACACTGTGCTATTACTGATAAATAAGCATTTTTCAGGCTTTTTTTTTGCATTTCTTTTCCTTCATTTTAACATTCCATAATTAGTTTTTCACCGTCTTTTTGCAAGCCGCAGTAGAAAGGGTTGTGTATGTGTTACAGATGAGGTCGGGAATATTTAATAAGCACTGTAAAACACATAAATACTGTATGATATGTGCTTGTAAAGGTATGCTCTTACCAACAGCGGATAGGAGCTGGTGATGTCAGCCTGGACTACTGCACCGTGATGACAGGTGGTGTGTGAATGCTGTGTGTGTTGTGTTGAGGTAGAGGACGGTAGCTCACTACTCTGATTCTGAGGCCAAACAAACTCATACTCAGCCTGAACCTCAGACCGTTTTCCCCTCTGAATGATCTAGAGAGAGAGAGAGAGAGAAAGAGAGAGAGAGATGGACAAATGGGAAAAACAGACCATATTGCATCCGTACAAAACACAATTCATATGTGTACTATATAAGATGCGCAAGATTATGACTAGTGCATCTCAAACCGTAACATTTTGTAGTGAAAATATTTTGCTAAAGCTGGTCTATGGATGGATTTTCAAAGTTATTGTGCTAATTTTGATTTTAATCCTGTATGACGAGACAGCCCGTTCTCATCCTTTAACGTCAGAACGCTATATGCAAAAACGGCGCTATACTACGCACATGGCACCCTTTCCTAAAGGCCAATTTATACTTCTGCGTCGAGGGTACGCCGTAGTGTACGGCGTTGGCTTCGCACGTAGGCGACGCCGTCGTGAGCATTTATACTTCTGCGTTCAGGTATTGGTTGCTCTGCAGTATTGCTCCGAAACGCTAGTTGGCGGCGGAGGGTTTTAATGTTCCACTGTGTTTAGATTCCTCGCGGCTAGGTTACTACAAGCAATAGCGACTGAAAGAGAGTGGATCATGTTGGAGTTGGAGCTTATTGGGGTGGAAAAACAGTTAATTTTAGTGAAATTACTAAAACTGAAAGGCAGAAATGACAGAAGACGTCGGAGGAGATGGTACGTGTGGAAATGCGTGAGAAGGCACGTGCGGAAATGCGTAGGAGGAAATGCGATGCTACCAAGCCGACCAATCACCGATCTTGCGGTCCGCGTCGTCGCGACGTGTAGTTACATTTTTGAAGAGGTGCGCGTCAGGCAACGCGGTATGGGACGTGTCTGTGCGTATGCTACGCCGTACCTACTGCGCGCACCCTACGCAGAAGTATAAATTGGCCTTAAGACGTTATAAATCCTTTAGCGTGAATAGGACACGCACACCCTACCCCACACATAAACTTAGAGCCCGTTCTCATAACCAAAGCGTCTCATTCAACCCGATCTCACGACCAAGTCGTACGAATTAGACGAATGATTAAAAAGTGGCTAATTCGTAACAATTCATACGACCTCACTCGTACGAATTAATACGATTTTGCTAAATTGTACATATTTTACGAATTGGCCAATTCGTATGAATTCGTACGAATGACCTACCCCTGACCCCGCCCCTAAACATAACCATCACGTGGGTTTAGACAAATCGTACGAATTAGTACGAGTGAGGTCATATGAATTGTTACGAATTAGCCACTTTTTAATCATGCGTCGAATTCGTACGAATTGGTCGTGAGATAGTGTTGTCTCATTAGACGTTAAAGGGTGCCATGTGCGTTGGATATTTACGCTTTTGCAAAAGCGTCCTATATGGCGCTTTGGGATGAGAATGCGTTGAAACTTAGCCCTCACAGCACGTGTTATATTAACGATAACGGGTGCCATGTGCGTAGTATAGCGCCGTTTTGTCATATAGCGTTGAGAAAGCGTTGGACGAGACAAAGTTGACATGAGGTCAAAACTGCTCTATGAACTCAAATGTGAATGAAGTAGGCTATATGAAGTTAAATGTATTTTTTTTTTTTTACTAAGTTTGATACTAAGTTTAGTTGGATACTAATATAAGCCTTATGGTTTCAAGCATTGAATCAAGCTTTTCTGATGTGGCCAAATATTGTCTCACTACATCCTCTCAAGAGCATGTTTCATCACAAAATTATAAGAAGATGTTATGGTAACACTTTAGAATACTGTTTCGTCATAAATGAATAACTACACTGGAACAAATGAGTAATGCACTATTAACATTCTAGTAACTACTAATAGCTAACAATGTACTCAGATTAACAAATAAGTAAGTATTTTTTTCATTCTAAGAGTACAGGTTCATAATTAATGTCAATAATGCATAATATCAGGTAATAGTAATTAGTAATGACTCAAGTGTTACTACATCCTTCTAAATGAGCTACTAATAATTGGGATCTGTATTTTTAATTGAAAAGCTTGATAACTAGATATTAACTGAAGTCATAAGATTTTGAGGTTTTTGTAAGGTTTTGAATAGTAATGACTCAAGTGTTAATTCATACTTTTAAAGGAACTACTATTTATTTGCATCAGTATTCTAGTGAAGTGAAGATCATGGAAACACACTAGTAATGACTGAAGCATTATCAAATCTATCCACCAAGCTCAAAAGCTTACAATGACTTCAGTCAATATTAGTTTATCAGCTTTTCACTTTAGAAACTGATCCAAATTATTCTTAGTTCCTTTAGAAGGATGTAGTAACACTTGAACCATTACTAATGGGTCATAAATGATTCATTATTTATGTTGATTATTAAACTTTTTATAGTAGTTCTTAGTAGTTCTCTGGAAGGTATGAAAAAAAGTAGTTGATTAGCTAATAGTGAACTACATTCAACTACGCACTATTGCTATTCTAATTTGTTAATCAGAGTTTGTTTGTTAGTTAAAGTAGTTTTAGAATGTTAATAGTGCATTACTCATTTGTTCCTGTGTAGTTATTCATTAAAGGGATAGTTCACCCAAAAATGAAAATTAAATCATAAATTACTCACCCCCATGCTGTACCAAACTCGGAAGACCTTTGTTCATCTTTGGAACACAAATTAAGATATTTTTAATTAAATTTGAGAGGTTGATGGCTGCTACATAGGCTCCTGAAGGATTGAAACTTGACCGCCCATAAAGTCATTGAAGAAAGTGTTTAAATATTCCATGTGACTACAGTGGCTCAACTATAAGTTTATCAAGGGACGAGAATACTTTTTATGCGGAAAAACGAAACAAAAATGACGACTTCGTTCGACAATTCCTTTTCTTCCTTCTGGGCCTGAGGCGAGAGTTCAAGAGATTTTCCACGACGCATGCGCGAGAAGTAAACAAGGAGTATTAGAAAAACAATGTAGTTCTCGCGCATGCGTCGTGGAAATCTCTTGAACTCTCGCCTCAGGCCCAGAAGGAAGAAAAGGAATATTCGAACAAATTAGTTATTTTGTCGTCGTTTTTTTCGCACAAAAAGTATTCTCGTCGCTTGATAAACTTATAGTTGAGCTACTGTAGTCACATGGAATATTTAAACATTTTCTTCAATGACTTTCTGGGCTGTCAAGTTTCAATCCCAGTGTTACAGCTCTCAAATTTACTCAAAAATATCTTCATTTGTGTTCCGAAGATGAACGAAGGTCTTACGGGGTTGGTACAGTTGGAAGTTGGATTTTACATCTAAAAAAAAGGAAACAGGATCAGGAAATCTAGTTTTACAATTATACATTTTTTTGACAAATCTCATTATTATGATGTGAAAAAATGATATATAATTTAAATTTTAATTCATGGTGTTGTTTTGCCTAAATGTTAAAAAAAAATCTATATCTATTTACTTAATTTCTTATTTCGTAATAATAATGCTGTTTACATACATCATTTAAAAGTTTGGGGTTTGTAAGATTTTAATAATGTTTTGAAAGTTTCTTCTTATTTGATCAAAAAACAAAGTTAAAATTGTACCATTGTGAATTATTATAACTTCAACAAATGTTGTGTTTTCTATTGTGTTCTTTCTATTCTAAAAGTATTAAATAAAAATAAAAGAATGAAAGAAAAAAATAGTTCTGATCCCAAACTTTTAAAACAATAGCGTAAGTTTGATGTTCCTCTATTATTATGATTTTGGGCAAATTTTGACCTAAACCTTGATATACAGTTACTATAAACTACAGTGTATTTTCTCATTCAATAACAGTTCTTACTTTTTGAACAATTGTCGTTGCAAGTTCCTCTATGAGCTCTTCCTTGTGGTCTCGCAAATAGCGAGCCTCATTCTGTTTCTCCTGTCATGTAAGAGAGAAAGACAGGCAGCAATAAGAGTATTGTACAGTATTTTTCTAACTGCAGTTAGATATTCAGGAAACTAAAGAAAGTCAAAACAGATAGATGGAAGTCAACAACATCTGAACAGAAGTTATATTTGTATACAGTATTCTTACATGGGTGAATCATATAGATGGATGTATGCATAAATGTCTGAATATTTGGATGTCTAAATGAGGGATGATTTGGTGGTTAGAAGGATGATATATAAACAGGAGTTTCTAACCAGGCTGTCTTTGTAGCTCTCTGCTTTAGCGATGGCTTCTTCTATCGCCTCCTCTGCCACACGTAGAGCGACAGTAAGCGTGTCTGCCATGCTGTGACCTGTATCCACAACATACACACCTCTTATAATCTGTTTAATGTCTATAAAACTAGATGCACAATGAAAGCAGATTGTTTTCTCTATGTACTTGTGTGTGTTTGTGTACTGTATGTCGGGTGTTAATCTTCATAATAATTCATAGACCATTTGAGTGCCGTAATGATTACAGCAATTGACCAGCACTTATAGCCAAGAGCCTTTGTTCCTCATGCCAATGGGTAACACAATATACCACAGGATTTATCCCTAAATTGTTGTGAGAATACCTGGTAAACCTTATATTGTGAGGACCACATTTTTTTGGTCCCCATGAGGAAAACAGCTTGTAAATCATACTAAATTAAGAGTTTTGAAAATCAAAATGGCAGAGTTTTCTGTGATGGGTAGGTACAGGGTCAGGGGATAGAATATACAGTTTGTACAAAAATATAAATCATTACTTCTATGGGAAGTCCCCATAAAACATGGAAACCAATAAGTAAGTGACATGTGAAGGCCATGCAACCCATGCTCGGAATTTGTCCTCTGCATTTAACCCGTCAAAGTTAGTGCACACACATTAGGAGTAGTGATTAGAGAACACACGCACATGCATGCACGCACACACACACACACACAACAAATTGTGCAACGGTGTGTTTGTGTGTGTGTTTGTGTAGTTAATGGGTTCCATGCAGTAGATTAATTACAAAGAAATTAATACTTTAATTCAGCAGGGAGGCATTAAATTGATCAACATTTAATAAAGACATTAAAGACAATTGTAAATTGTAATAATTACAAAAGATTGCTATTTCAAATAAATGCTGATATTTTCATCAAAGAACCCTAAAAAATTGTTATCACGATTTCCACTGTTATTAAAAAAATATAGGCAACACTTTACAATACTGGTGCACTAATATGCATTAATTCACGCTTAACTAATGCACAGATAACCATGAGTTAATGCATAACTAATGAAGAACTAAACCATTAATTAATGATTACTGCATTAGCAACTAATAAAGAGTCTATAAGATTAATAGATTAAGTAATACATGAATTGCTATTAATTCAATGTGTCATTGTGTATTAATTCCTCGATAACATATTTTATTAACTAATAGTGTAAATTAATGTGTTAATTACCACAATTAGTCAAAGCTATGCACTTCAACTTCCAGTTGTCTGCTTTAATTAATCATTAGCTAATGATTTGCAAAGGTATCATTATGTTATGACTTTACTTGTTGGGGCACATCATTATTAACTAGTCATTTAGTAATTGTAGTAATTTTGCACATGAATTTGCACTAACAATGAAGTAATTAAACATATTAAGAGTTTGGTTCCAAAACGCGATAAACGCCATTTAAAAAAAAAAAATGAGTTACTGCAAAAATCTGACTTTTCAATACTGACCAGATACAAAACAATGTTTAATTTTACGTAAAATGGGACGTATTGTTATGTAATGTTTTCTCCCTTTCTTTCCAAACCGCGACAAACGCCAGTCTCCCTTTTCTGCAAAATGCCACATATCCGCTAAACCAATCACAACGCACCATTCCACGCAATGTAAACAGTAACGGCAGCGCTTTAACTAACCCGGCTTCCTAGGTTTTCTCTATTTTGTCCTTTCGATCAACAAACAAACAAAAAAATGAATAATTTTGACAGCATTGGTGAACCTGCGGAGGGTAAGGCATCCTGCATGGGTAAACGTGACATCGAAATCGAATCATTTACGTGAGGAAGAAGATGGACTCGGGAGGAGGAAATGCCGGCTGTTGCTTGTTCTCACACGACAGCATCAAACTTCTGTCACGCTGACACACTGACCCCCAGAGGATCTTTTGGAAAACTTTCAGTTGTTTTATTCAAAGTCAATGAAAACCGAGTAGGACCAAGCCAGTTTACAGCTGATCGCCGTCAAAAAAGTTCAGCGGCGACGTCCCAAGGTTGACAACAGCGATATGCATAACGTTAGATCATGCTTAATAAATCATAATTCATGATGATGTGCTCGTCTTAGTTAATGTTTTAATTAAGGTTTTGTTCATCCATGAATTCATGAATGAAAAACGTTGAACTGTTAAAAAAAACGTTGTTCCTGATGATATTAATATGAATTAATGCATAATTCATTTATCCATGAATTCATGATAATTCATGACATGAACCCTTAAAATGTTACCGAATATTGTTATATTAAAGCAATGGATTTATAGTATGCACAAGAAATTCAATGTGTATAAAATTTTATTTTGATTAATTGCATTTAAAAAAAAAAATATTGGATTTATTGCATTTTGGGGGAAAAAACGATCTGTTTTTATTAGTGCACCCGTATTGTAAAGTGTTACCAAAATATATATTGATAATGACATTACAGGACTGAGATTAAGGATTAAAAGGTACTTGGCAGATTTAAAGTATCCTTTTGGGTCTGAAATTTGAAAACACATGTGCAGTGAGCAGAAGTGTATTGATTTTTCATGTTACCTTCACTCTGCCTGTAGAGCGTGGAGTCACTGCCATCACAAACACTGCCATTCTCATTACTGCCTTCATGTGCGCTGACCTCTAACAAAACAACAGAGAAAGAGAGACATAAATCAAAGGAAAACAAAACATTACAAAGCATTACATTACTCAGACATCTAGACAATGTACACAGACATCTCTTTTCAGTAGAAGTTCCCTTATTTACTTGTGATTTCCAAATAGGTTTTTGAAGAATAATAGGCAACTATTTAAATGCACAGTACCTGGCTGAACAAGACTGTGTTGAAACACAAAACAGGAAAGTATATCACTTTTTGGCAAATTCATCCCTCAGAGTTTGAAATGGCCCTCCTTCCACCTCCTTTTTAAAAATGTCATAAACTTCTTTTTGTCTGTGAAAAATCTGTGCTTGATGCTCTATTCTAGTTGGCAAAGCTGTCATTGAGATTTAGAGCAAAATATGGGATGTAATAACGATTTTTATATTTGCTAGCTTAAAGGACAACTCCGCCGCAAAATGAACCTTTGGTCTAATTGCACATTGCTACCTAGTCAACCGTTATCTGAGATTTGTTTTCATGATTGCCGAATGTAAATAGTTTTATCTCTAAAAACAGTTTAGCCTATAGTGCTAGTATAATGCTAGTATATAGGGCATAGAGTAATGACAAGTAAAAATCGCTTGTTATTACCACCAACAAGGCTGAAAATAGCCCCATACTAAAACGACAGCATAACAAAGGTCCCTTCAGGCATGTGATTGGCTAAGGACAAAAAAGCAGGAAAATATACCGAGCACCCCCCCCCCCTCCCTCCATCAATATATATCCAAACATCTTTTCCGCAAAGTGAGAGCAAATGTTCAATCAAAGTCAAATATAATCTTCTTCACTGTATAAATTATACATTGATTATTATTAAAGATACTATTACAGTTCTCAGTCAAGAGCAATGAGTGATTTCCTCTGTGTTTTGTTGTTTAATTAACATCAAATAGATAGTTCTCCCAAAAATTGTAATTGTCATCATTTACTCTCTCAAGTTGTTTAAAACCTGAATAAGTTTCTTTCTTCTGTTTAAGTTATTTGGAAGAATGTGGGTAACCAAACAGTTGATGTACCCCAGTGATTTCCATAGTACATTTTTCCCTATGGAAGTCAATGGGGACCAGCAACTGTCTGGTTACCCACATTCTTCAAAATATCTTCTTTTTTATTCAGCACAAGAAATAAATGAATACAGGTTTGGAACAACATTACAGTGAATAAATAATGACAGAATTTTTATTTTGGGGTCAACTATCCCTTTAAGAACAAGCGGCTGCATTTTTATTATTAGGGCTACTGTCACTTTAAGACCTGTACGCGACACGTCTAATATACACTGAGCATTTGACAAGCAGATTTCTCTCAATTTTCTCGGTTTGCTTTCAGTTTAGACATAACCAAATGTTCTAAACCTTGTGTATATTTGAGAGTATTAGCGAAATAATACTCAAAAGATAACTTAGTCCAGCAACCAGGCGCTGTTAGTCCCGCTTTTAGTGCATGTGCACGTCGGGTGTTCGCGTTCAGAACAGCGCATCAGCAGTGAATGACATATTTAACCAGCAAGGCTTTAAAGCACATGCAAATTAACTTTTGTGAACTCGCTGAACTGATGTAGCCGTTCCTCTGCGTTAATATGGCGAGTATTTGTTGCGTTGTACACTAATATGCTGTTGAGACGGAGGTGTCAGGACTGCAACTGACAGAATGCACGATATAGCTGCTACATATTTCTACAAAAGCAGTCAGCAGCTTGCTTGGAGCAAGGATCATAGCGCAAATTTGAAATATATCGATATATCGCCCAGCCCTGGTGAACTAACTGTGATGTTCTTGTCAACTGACGACGATACCAGCGCGAGAGCGACTGAGATACGAAATTGAGCAGGTGAACAAGCTGAACCAATTATTCTCTGGCTGAACGCAAATACGTCCTTGTTGATACTTTGAAAGGAACTTTCTGTACGTCAGCCAGTTATGGGTTATGTCCTCATATTCTCTCCTTTTCACTCCGGCTGCCGACACCCGTCCCCCTCTTTTTTTTTTTTTACAGATCTGCGTGATTTACGTAGGTCACATTTTCAGGTCGGAAAATCCGGAATTCCGGATTAATCCGGAAAAATCACATCCCTGCTACATTCAAACCGAAGCATTGAGAACTTTGTCAGTGTCCATACAGTTTAATAAGAAGATATTTTATACACACAGTCAACTTCGCGAATACAGGAAGAAGCCATCTTTGAAAATTAGTCTCTACCAGTCGATCTAAGAACGCCGATCCATGTCCACCGGTGAGATGTGAATAAGGTGATAATGTGAGCGCCAACAGTAGGCTACGTGTACATATTGAAGAGAAGAAAACGGTTCGTGTTTGTTCCGAAAACAACGGACCATATAAGATTCTGCAGATTTCAGCGCACATGGATCGGCGTTCTTAGATCGACTGGTAGAGACTAATTTTCAAAGATGGCTTCTTCCTGTATTCGCGAAGTTGACTGTGTGTATAAAATATCTTCTTATTAAACTGTATGGACACTGACAAAGTTCTCAATGCTTCGGTTTGAATGTAGGGACCTTTGTTATGCTGTCGTTTTACTGTGGGGCTATTTTGAGCCTTGTTAGTGGTAATAACAAGTGATTTTTATTTGTCATTACTCTATGCCCTATATACTAGCACTATAGGCTAAACTGTTTTTAGAGATAAAACTATTTACATTCGGCAATCATGAAAACAAATCTCAGATAACGGTTGACTAGGTAGCAATGTGTAATTAGACCAAAGGTTCATTTTGCGCCGGAGTTGTCCTTTAAGATATGTTGACAAAACTGATGTTAAATTTACATTTACATTTATCTGACGCTTTTATCCAAAGCAACTTACAATTGCTATATATGTCAGAGTTGCACGCCTCTGGAGCAAGGAGTTACAGTAAGTGTCTTGCTCAGGGACACATTGGTGTCTCACAGTGGATTCGAACCCAGGTCTCTTTCACCAAAGCCATGTGTCTTATCCACTGCACCGTCACCACCCCCCGACCACTCACCGAATTTACAGAGAAACTAGGAATGCTCATTTATATACAGTATGCATCCTCATTGCTTGTCACATTAAGATGACTTTTTAGAGCCAATTTTATCGCTAAGAAAAGAATCGTACTTGGTTACCTAACGTAACCTCGAGAGAGAACCAAGTATTGCACAAGTGTTGCATAAGTTTAGCTTACGCTACGGGAAAGATTAATCTTTTCAAGATATGGAGTCAAAAAATGTATCCTTAATTTTGCATTCATTGTCAACGCAGTGCAGCAGCAGCTAGCAGACCTAGAGCAGGCTGTCTAGCATGCTCATAAGCTGCCCTGCAGGAACTGCAGCAACCTACCACTGAGCCCGACGTAACATCACATCAAATGAAGGGCGCGCGCGTCTTCACAGCGTCATAGACCGCCAATATGGGCGTGGCTTAGCATATATAAGCAGGGCTCGGAGGCTGTTTCTCTGGTTTTCATTGACTGAAGCAAAATCGCTCGTGGCGCGAGCACGGGTGGTTACGCAATACTCGTTCCCTCTTCTAGAGAGATCTGAGCCTACCACTTGCCAAAGACCGGTCTGCCCTCGAAGAGAGTGCCCCAACTGGATTTGGACGCATCTGTTGAGATGACCTTTCGATATGAGTTCCCATTATCACACCCCTGTAGCCCCTTTTCCACCAAAGCATTTTGAGAGCCGGTTCGGAGCCGGTGCCTGCGCGCGAACCAGTTCTTTGTGTTTTGACAGCCAAAGAACCGGTTTGCGGCCGGGAAAACTGGTTCCAAAGCGGCACCAACTCTTACCGTTCTTTTAGCACGTCATGTTTACGTCGGGGGCTGGGGCGGGTTTAGATGTATTCTAAACATATTTTCTGACCATCGCAAAGCCAGGAGAAACTGCAGAAACACGCAAGTGTTTTTATTTATTTATTTAGTATTTATTTGAAACGTAAGCAAAGAAGAAACATATATAGTCACGATATAGAACAAATAAATGGAAAGAAAAATGACACAAGACAGGGGTACATAACTTATCAGAAAAGATTACGTATCAAACGAAAAGATTAAAAGACTTACATATTTCAATTGTTTTTAAAGTTTTCTTGGTACACGAGTTAGAGATAATCCCAAAGCAATATCAGTGACGTAACGACGTCGTTCCCTGGGCGCTCTAGTCAGTGGAAAAACAAACAGGTTCTGAACGGGTTCGCAAGTTGAACCAACTCTGAACCAGCACCAGTTCCGAACCAGTTCTTTTTTCGGTGGAAAGGGGTATCTGAAACCAGTTGGCTGCTAACCAGGGCTGCAGAGCCGTAATGCAAGAGAGATAAACCAGTCCCTCGGGCGAGTGTGCGCAAGGATTTTCCTGGTCGTAAGCATTTTGAACAGTCTTTTCATAAGCACTTTGTTCAAATATCTCAGATCTAAGATGGCCTGAGGGCACTGTCCTTCTTGGGCACAAGAAAATAAAGGCTGTTAAAGCCTGACTCGCTCAGAGAAAGCGGTACCAGTTCTATAGCCCCGTTGCACAGCAGCTTCGCTATTTCTGCCCGGAGTAGATGTGCTACTTCCGCATTCCCTGCAGTCGCGGTCCATGCTCGAAAGCGCACTGTATGAAAGCGCACTGCACTGTGGGCTCGAATAGCCCTGCCTTATTGTGCTTAGCACTCATTCTGAAACCCCTGCCCTGTTTTATACATGTACAGAACAATTAAAGAACAATTACATCTCTTTAACCATCTAGAGCAAAGGATATATTCGGTATGGACGTGGTGATGCTTAAAGAGCTTAGTGAATCAATAGTTAATCCTATCACTAAAATTATCAATCTTTCAATTTCTCAGGGGATGTTCCCTTGTGCTTGGACAGCGCAGTCTCACCCCAAAAAGTCATATAACTGACGTTTTGGGACGTCTTTTGACCATACGTCAATATTCGCCTTTTTAGGGCCCCCTTAAACGTCGGTAGATGAGGTTATGGGATCCTAACTCTACCCCAGACCTAA